ATTAATAATCATGAACTAATAAAATCAAGTAAAATAAATATGAATTTCATTAACAAATAAAAATATTTAATATATAAATATAACAAATAAACGAATAATAACAATAATAATACAAAAATGAAATAAACATAAATAAATAAAAAAACCAAATCATTACAAAATCAAATTAAAATAAATAAAAAGAAAATAAATAAACAATTTAATAATAACATAAATAAAAATAATGTTTGAGATCAAAATATTTTTAAAATAAAAAAGAAACTTATCTTCATAAGAAAATGAATTTGATAAGTTTGAACAGACTATAAACAGATAACATCAATGAAAATAATATGTACAGAGCAATAATAATTTAATTATTTTTTAATTAATCAAATGGTACACTATTTTTTTTGCCATAACAATTTTATAAGCTTAATATTTTAAAAACTATTTTCAATTCATTTAATATACAACACATTCTTTGCAACTTTAATAGGTAATAAAATGGTATTATTACCATCAATAAATTATCACATTTAATTATAATCAAACTATAATTAACTAATATTTATAAATTTTAATAACCATTGAAATTAATAATAGGACTTTTATTTATTTTTCTGATTCTGGAGAATCCTTTTAATGATTCTTATATTTAGTCATATTAAAAAATGAATAAAATCGAGTGACTAATCTAATTTTAAAATAAATGAATTAAAAATAGAAATGAAATATTCAGATTTTGAACTTAAAAATAATAATAAAAAATATAAAGAAATATACTATAAATAATAATAAAATATTATAATAAACAAAATTTTATTTACAATCTCTTTTTCTACAAAAAGTTGCCGAAAGTATCTTTTTTCAGTTTAAGATAAGTTCTTGATAAATTTTTGAAAAGTCAAAATAACGACTGAAATTATCTCAATGAATCTCAATTTATTCTTGCTTTTCATGGAAATTTGAGGAAGAGTTATCAGCCTTCAAGGTCATTGGTTCATCGTCTTCCCATTGTAAGGAATCCATTCTGTTTTTGTCAACTGGATAAATCCAGCGTTGGTACAAATAAATCAAGAAAATAACGTCATCTCTGAAACAAGCGATTCTGTGAAGAGTTGGCATTTTGATGACAAAAGCAAATAAATCGTCAACGATTGTATTCAAAAACTTATAAACAAATACTCTCCAAGGTAAATTTGCAACTGATTTAAGTTTGTAATTGATAAACAGTTGAGGAGTCATTTGTAAAAAGCCAAAAGTGTAAACTAATCCTACTAATAATGAGAGAATATAAGAATACCAAGATTTAAATTCATTGTTATAAAGTGAATAAATGGCATACCCAATACAAAGAGGGATACAAGCAATTCCAAGGTATTTTAATGCGATGTCATCATAAAGTTTTGTTTTAGAATTTTGATAAGAGAGGTCTTTGTATTGAATGAATGAACCTTTTTCTTTAAAGTTAAAAGTAAAAACTCTTGTTAATTTCCATAAAGTAATAAGAAGTCCAACACCATTTGATAATAAAATGAGGAGACTAGTGTCATTATCAATGAGATAAAGCAATACAATAATTTCAATAGCAAGACTAACAAAGATTGATTTAATTGATAATCCTACAAAATGATCCCGTTTTGACCAAAATTGAATATCATTTTTATAAGCAAGAAAATCAAAAATAGTATGAAGTGTTGATACTGTTGTTGTTATAATTAAAAGTATAATATTAGTTTCCATAAAGATTCTTTTAAATTCATCAATCTGGTCTTGTGCCATTGTTCCCATATGTTCATGCATAGAAAAAGAATGACCAAGTGAATGCATCATAATCATTTTAAAATATGATATAGAAGTAATTTTTAATGATATATTTAAATTTTGAATGGTATCATTAATTGGTGTATAATAATCTTTAATTAACCAAAAAGTATTGTGAAAAATAATAGGAGCAATCCGTTTTTTTATTCCATTATAATGAATAATACCACATTCTGGTGGAATATTATGAGGATCAACAACTTGGTTCATAAATGAAATTTCAAAATAAGGAATACAACCAAGAGTAAAATTTAAATCGTTAGTACTTGTTGTTATATTATTTTCATTCATTAAATTATGAGTTTGTGGTATTGGTTTAAATGTTCTAAGAATTGGACTTTTAAATATTAAAGGTTGATTATTATATTTTGTAAGTGGCTTAACTATAACTTTCATAATAATACTTTGATTTGATTTGATATACGAAAGATAATTTGATGGTATTGAAATAGGTTCTGAAATAGAATCAATATTTTTATATTCAATATCTTTTGAAAGAAGATGGTGTTCTTGTGATTGATGTATTAATGAAACATTAAAATAAATATGTTCGTTATCCAAATATGCAGATTGATATCCATTTGTTGGTGGATAAATAATTGAATATATTCCATAACATGAATATGCAATAAAAACAACAATTAAACAAGCTGCTAATGGATGTTTTTGAATAAAACTTAATTGATTTTGATTGTTTATTTCATTTGAAGGAGAAGGTTGTTCAACCATCAAAATTTATTTTATAAAAAAGAAGAAAAAGTTCTTTTTAAGTAAAAAAAAAAAAAAATTCATCAGAAATGATGATAAAAACAAAAAAAAAATTATGAAATTAAGCAACAACTTTATCATGTAATGCAAGACAAACAACTCCTTTTTCATGAACTGCATATGTCTGAATTGGTTCTCCACTTTTTAAATCCCAAAGTTTTGCAGTTGTATCAGTTGAAGCTGAAATGAGATATTCACTATTATTACTAAAAGTAATATCCCATACCCATCCATTATGACCATTTAAAGTTTGAACTAATGAATAATTTTGTTTTACTTTCCATATTTTAATTGTTCTATCAGCTGATGCTGTTGCTAAATTTAATGTATTTGGAGAATATTTACAACAAGTTCCAAAAGTAGAATGAGCTTCAAAAGAAGTAATTAAAGATAAAGTACCAATTGTACTTTCTTGAGTTAAATTAGTTGAATAAATGAAACATTTACCATGAGTTAATAATACTGCAATATTTAATCCATCAGCAGTAATATCAACAGATTGAATTGACTGATTTAATTCAGGGATTATTTCTTGACTAATAACATTATTTCTTGTATCCCAAACACATAATCTACCATCTTGTAAACCAACAATTATTTCAGATTGATTAGGATGTAATGCAATACAATTACAAGGAGAACCAAATGATATATCTCTAAATGTTGAACAAGTTCTTGGTTCCCATGTTTTTGCTGTTCCATCTTCAGAACAAGTATAAATATATTGACCTTCTCTTGAAATTCCAATTCCACATACATTTGCTTTATGTCCTTCATAAGATTTTACAGGAGCAACCATTTTAGAATTTAAATCCCAAATTTTAACTTGAGGATTACTTGCAACAGCAAGATATGATCTATCAGGACTAATAACCATTTTATTCATTGTTTGTTCAAATGTAATTCTTTTAGATGGTACACCAGTTGATATATCCCAACAATTAATAGTATCATCATATCCTCCAGTGAATAACAAAGAAGCCATAATTTGTTTTATAAAGTTCTTTTTTATTCTTTATAATCTTTTAATTTTTATGATTAATAATAAATCTGAAACAATCTTTTTGTTTAAGAGAAAAGAAGAGAACTTAAAATGATTAATGAAGAAATTCTTGGCTTATTTAGCCCGATATGGAACTCCAATATGTTTAACAATTTCTGGTATTCTTTCAATACTTGTTATTATTCCATTTGGATTTGGATTACCAAGTCATACATTTGATAAAAAAACAAATACAAATTTAGCAGGAAAGAATACAGGAAAATTATCATGTTCTGATTATTTCATAGATAATTCTCATGCTATTTATTATAAATTACCAAATATTGATTATCATTTTCAATGTGGATATTCTGTATTTAATATCATTCTTACATTTTTATTTGAAATTATTAGTGTAGTTGAAATTGTATTATTCTGGGTATTTGTTTTAATTTGGAGAAAAAAAAAATTAATAACATTTATTGTGTATTGTTGTTTACTTATACCAATAATTATGCAATGTTATTTATTAGTTCATCATTGTTCAGAAATTCATGAAGGAAGTAAATCATGTAAAAAAGTAAAAGTAGATGCTCAAGCTCAATGTTCTATTCTTCCATTTGTTTTTACACCAGTTGTTGATAGTTTTAATGTTGTTTTCTTATTTATAGGAACTGGATTAGGAACAGTTTTATATTTCTGTAGACCACGAGTAAATAAAGCACTTGATGTGAAAATACTAAT